TGGGGGGGGGGGGGGTAAACGCGTCATTTCCTGGTAAGTAAAAATATGTTAAATATCGTACGTTTGTGGTGTAACTACTTCCATTTCTGGATAGCGCGCAAAAAATAATTCCCATAACTACGCTAAAAAAAATTTAATATCGCAACTGCGTTTGGTGCGTACTTTTTTCTTTTCGGGAAAATAAAATCGCCTCAATTTAAATACAGTGTAATACATATTCGGTTTAAAAGTGGTTGGAAATCCATTAATACAACATCCGGGCATACATTCTGACTAAAATCTTATTAATGGCGGAAAGATATTAATTTAACATTCTGGTATTCAGTCTGGCCAATCTCTCAAAACATCTGTTCGGTACTTTTAAGTTCATATGAGCCAGCGCATTAACCTAGACGTAAATTTGTTTACAACTTTATTTTACGAAAGATTTGTACAAATTGTTTTGAAGAAATTGTCTAAAAATAGTAACATGACGTAAAGCGATGTGATGTTTTCCGGTCTTATCAATGACAAACCCTAAGGCGACAGTGAACAAAATATATTATAGAGGAGACACGTTTACGGAACTTTACTTAAAACTCAACCAAAACATAAACCTGAACATTTCAACAAATCATTATAACTAGACTGAATTATTGCTTTAATAAATACGTATAGGCCTAGTGGTATGGCTTTGCATCAAGATGTGTGGTATGGCTTTGCACCAAAGATGTGTGGTATGGGTTTGCACCAAAGATGTGTGGTATGGCCTTGCACCAAGATGTGTGGTATGGCTTTGCACCAAGATGTGTGGTATGGCTTTGCACCGAGATGTGTGGCATGGTTTTGCACCAAAGATGTGTGGTATGGCTTTGCACCAAGATGTGTGGTATGGCTTTGCACCAAGATGTGTGGTATGGCTTTGCACCAAAGATGTGTGGTATGGCTTTGCACCAAGATGTGTGGTATGGCTTTGCACCAAGATGTGTGGTATGGCTTTGCACCAAAGATGTGTGGTATGGCTTTGCACTAAAGATATGTGGTATGACTTTGCACCAAGATGTGTGGTATGACTTTGCACCAAGATATGTGGTATGACTTTGCACCAAAGATGTGTGGTATGGCTTTGCACCAAAGATGTGTGGTATGACTTTGCACCAAGATATGTATTATGGCTTTGCACCAAGATATGTATTATGGCTTTGCACCAAGATATGTATTATGGCTTTGCACCAAAGATGTGTGGTATGACTTTGCACCAAGATATGCATTATGGCTTTGCACCAAGATATGTATTATGGCTTTGCACCAAAGATATGTATTATGGCTTTGCACCAAAGATGTGTGGTATGACTTTGCACCAAGATATGTATTATGGCTTTGCACCAAGATATGTATTATGGCTTTGCACCAAGATATGTATTATGGCTTTGCACCAAAGATATGTATTATGGCTTTTACATTTAATGAAACTGTCAAATGTCATTCTCATTTAGTACATAAAAATATGATTGTTTACCTGTGGCTAAATATCGAGATTGACTTTTGTATTAGATTAAAATCCACAAGATTATCATGAAACTGCTATTCATTTGTATCACTTTTATTCTTGCCACCCTGGTCTAAGCAAGGAATATGGTGTTAAATTATTAACATAAATTTAGATAGCTCCTCACATAAGATGGCCGTATTTTTTGTTGGTTAGAAAGACAAGTTCTCGTTGGTTGACCAAATATATATATATTTAGTTCTATAATTTAACAAATTGTTACACAAAAGCGTATGTCTCCAAATAAATTAAGTTACAAATAAGTTTATAACTTTCACTAGATTCTTGTTTTAATCATTGTTATCAAACTGTAACCCAAAATTTTCTTAGGTGAAAACGATTGGGTACTTCCCTTTATTTATATATGTATACATATACATATATATATATAAGTAGGAGTAATTTTCTCTATTGATTTTATCTTTATTGGCTTAAAATCAAATAGCGTTAAATTGTGTCAACAATCTACGTCTTATGTGAGAACAAAAGCCGACAGACATGAACTAACATGGTTGCGTATAGGTCGAAATCACCTCATCTCAGCAGCTGGATTGGGGATAAGACCTGAGGCCAGATTCTGAGGAGTCAGCCCCGCTACACATCTACCAACCAAGCAGTGACCCTGCAACACAGAGAACTGAGAGCATCTAGGAATCAAAATCACACCATGTGCCCCTGGAAAGACCATTGCACAGCATACAGCCAGGTAGTCCACATCTGTTCCTCATTCCGATAAGTCCCCCAGAGCTGCATACCCATATCCCAAACCGTGAGGCTGCATCAGATTGCTCTGTAGATTTAAGGACTTTACACCCATAACGTACAGCTGGGAAGTACACTTCCATTCCAGCCCTGTAAAGCCGCGAAGGAAAAGACTTGAGGATCCACTCCAGCCCCCCCCCCCCCCCCAGGGGCCCCCAGATGTGACCTCACACACTGACATAGCTATTACAATCATCAATCATATTAATATTGATAAGATTAAGTTGTAAACGCTCAGCACATATTTAGAAGGGTAATATGGGGAGAGACTGTTATCAGCTTAGCAAAATAGGAAATGGTTGAAACAAAATAAGGTTAAACCTGACAAAACAACGACAAAACGAGGAAGGTGTCGGCAGGTGCGTTCATTCGTTCAGGTTTAACCTTACTTTGTTTCACTCATTTTCAGCACATATTTGTCTTATTACAATCCTTTGTAATTTGTAATAAGACATATTTGTGCTGAATAGTTAGGCTATAACTGGGAGGCCAATGTCCACAGTCCTCATAACCTAGATTATAAAATTAAAAGCAAAGGTTGATCTAAGCCTTAATAGGAGCTGTTGCTCTCCATGCTGTTAGATTTGTGATGAAGTGCTGTAAATAAAAAAAAGTCCATTTCATTTTATGCAATCAGTTAGAATTCTTCTGAATTACATACAAAGAGTACAATATGAAAGCAGGTAGTTTTTGTTTCTTCATAGTTTGCCAGTTATTTGATCTAAAACAAACACACAATAAGTTTAATCTTTTTGGTTCTAAATTTTTTTTTTTTAAATGTTAACACAAATTTTTATCAGAAGTTAAATATACAATAGTTTATTTACTGTCAAATTTTACACTTGTCAACATGTACATACAAAAACAATTGAAGGGATAACATATAAATAAGTTACAATAACCCTTCATCAGTCTCTTCAGGAAGGTTGAAAATTGACCAGTTATAATTTCTTTCCATAAAGCTATTAACATCATGTACAGTAAGTCAAGCTCAGCAAGAATCATGAACAGTAAGTCATGCTCAGCAAAGCTTCAAATTTGTTAAAAATGTTTAGACTGTTCAAGAAAAGAAAATCTCATCTTTTAAAAAAAGCAACATAAAACCAAGATTATGCCCCACCAAAAAAAAAAAGAATTGACATAAGTTAAAAAAAAAGAAAGATTTTTACAATCTTTGGATGAAGCAAATGTTAATTGATGTTAAACAAAGGTGGCGCCACCTACCAACAACTCAGAAAAGTCATGTCATGTGCCCATAACATCTCTTCTGTCCTGTCACTTTAAAAAAGAGTTTAAAGAATAAGATTAGAAAATACAGATGAATGGATTGAGGTATACACCAAGAAAATGACATCAGGCAGGGAAACTCATGACATGGCTTAAATGCTGCTCTGGTCTCAGGCAAAAAACATCAATGATCATTTCTGAGAATTTGGTTATGGACTGCAGCCTTATCATTTGGGCTGTTTCATGTTTAGTATTTTATTAATTTTAAAAAATGAAATAAGAAATGAAGGAGGCCTCTTGTGTACACCATATCTATAAACCAGAAAAGAAAAGAATAAGAGTGCTGAATACCCTGTAATAGTGAAATTAACTTGAGGCATCTCCAAGTACTGTTGTGCACATCTCCTAGTACTGTTGTGCACATCTCCAAGTACTGTTGTGCACATCTCCAAGTACTGTTGTGCACATCTCCAAGTACTGTTGTGCACATCTCCAAGTACTGTTGTGCACATCTCCAAGTACTGTTGTGCACATCTCCAAGTACTGTTGTGCACATCTCCAAGTACTGTTGTGCACAGTTGAGCTTTCACTTTAGGTTGGAATAGTTATCATTGTTAACACACAAAAATATTCCTTGCTGACTTGTACAGCAGTCTGTGTTGTGAAATATGTACTGACACTCACTGGTATCACATTTTTAGCACATGCACTTGTTTTCACAGTGCCTCATGGCCAATTATAATAAAATTTATTATTTCTTTGGATTTCAAGATAAAAAAAAGATCTGGCACAAATATTGCCCAATTTTGTTTTTAGATGCTAAATAATTGCAGACAATTAAGTGCAGTGAAATATGACCCAAACATGTACATTGGCAAAAATATTACTTTTAACTTTTTATTTTATTACCGTATATGATTATATTTATGATCAATTTGTCTTAAAAAATTATATTAGTGTAGATAAGATGCACAAAAATTTCTTTCTCATAAAACCATTCCCATTCACTAAAAGTTAATGCCAATCTGACATAACAAATCTGTAATATAAACTAACTTCTGCAGCTCTTCCCTGAGGACCAATTTTAATCTCATGACACATGTAGTAGTATAACCCAGAGGTTACAAAGCTTTGCGGACCAACGTAAAAAAATGTAATAAAAGTGTTCTATTTTGCAGTGCACTTATTAGAAATTAAATAAGGCCACCTGGGTAAATCTGGATGCCATAAAAAGGTTTCGGGAGCCTCTGGTGTACCAAATTCACATCAAATGGATTTCAACAATAAAAGATAACTAATATCATGAAAACAAAATCATCCTCTTTACTTTGAGATTACTAAAACATATCTCATGTTGCTATTTCCAGAACATATTTCTTGACAACACTGGGCAGTGGGAGACTCTCCACTTTACTGGCCAGGTTGTGCTTCAGGGATTTGTAAATGCTTACACGAGAAAGTTCTTTCAGGGATTGGGGATTCCCGCTCATCATGTTGATCAAGGTCAGGAAGTCGACACTACCATCACACAAGCTGGAGACGGTGAGGCCGTCCAGCAGGATGCCAGAGGGTTGTAAGTGAAGGATACTTTTAGAGGCAGTTAGACACCCATGCAAGGCCTTGTGGTCCATCGTGTTGTAGAACAGCAGCAAAATATTCTGCACTGACTTGTTAAACAAAAGATTCTCTTTATCCTTTACCTGAAATTTTGAATTAATGTATTCAAAATCATTTAACGCATCAATAGCTAAGGCAAAATAAGTACTGACTATTCATCACCCAGAGAAAAATACTATGTTTGATTTACTGAAAAGAAAACATAAAAATGAATAGTAAAAACCTCTGTCTGCTTTTCAGCCATGAAAATGCTTCCCATCTTTAGCATTTTTATTCACAAAATTATAATTTGTTTTAATTGATCATCAAGAAATTCACGTAGGCTAATTATTCCCACACCTCATGAATCAGGTGAGATAGCTATGCCATGCCTCATGAATCAGGTGAGCTAAATATCCCATACCTTATGAATCAGGTGAGCTAACTATCCCATACCTCATGAATCAGGTGAGCTAGCTATGCCATACCTCATGAATCAGGTGAGCTAGCTATCCCATACCTCATGAATCAGGTGAGCTAGCTATGACATACCTCATGAATCAGGTGAGCTAGCTATCCCATACCTCATAAATCAGGGGAGCTAGCTATCCCATACCTCATAAATCAAGTGAGCTAGCTATCCCACACCTCATGAATCAGGTGAGCTAGCTATCCCATACCTCATAAATCGGGTGAGCAAGCTATCCCATGCCTCATAAATCAGGTGAGCTAGCTATGCCATACCTCATGAATCAGGTGAGCTAAATATCCCATACCTCATAAATTGGGTGAGCAAGCTATCCCATACCTCATAAATCAGCTGAGCTAGCTATGCCATACCTCATGAATCAGGTGAGCTAGCTATGCCATACCTCATGAATCAGGTGGGCCAGGGGTTGTGTTGGAAGCTTCTTCAGGAAGATTGAACTCTGACAGTGACATATGATTGGTTCAGATGGGTAGGGCTCAAGGTCAGGATCTGCTCCCCATTGTAGGAGAGTTCGAATCCATTTCTCTACAAGTTGGAATTCTGCATTACTTGATGCTGTGCTCACGAGGCTGACAAACTCTTTTTTTAATTTAATGAATTTGAATTATTATTACTTAAATAAGCTGGAAACAATCTTTACAAATATAATAGATCTATCTTAAAAGAGTTTACAAGAAGAGTTTTTGCTCCCAAGACAATGGCTAAATAAAAAGTGATAGAGGTTTAAAAGATTGCTAAATAGTGCCCAAAGTCTGTCTAGAAATTTAAAAAAAAACTTACTTAAGATAATAGTCAAATGAAGCATAAATTTAATTTTGTGTGTCCCTATAGAGTATACAGTAAATTTTGTACCCCACACCAGCTTAGCTATCTTCCAACTTTAGTGGTTTTATATACAGAGTTAACCTCCTCCCCTACAACAGAGACCTTTTATTGGCTAAATGGTCAATTCAAACTAGGCTGTTTTCCCTAAGAACAAATTAGTCTAGATTCAGATGGACTACATTTGTGATACCATGCACGGTGTTAGATAATTAAATGGTAGATTTTGTTTAATTTAATACTTCATTTAATACTCAGATCTTGTATCGAGTACCCACCAATCAATCCATTGCCTTGTCCACCTTGAAGGTGACGGGATATTTTGTTAGACTTATGGTTGGGATCTAGACCGTGTCTCAGCATGACACAGAGAACCTCATTTACCAGCTCACCAAACTGCTCTCTTAACAATGGTGACTGACCTAGGGGCACACCCAGATTTTCTGGATCATCCTGCATACAGCGATGGCAGATCATGGCAACTAAAGGATAAGAAAAATTATGGCAGAGTTTAATCAAAACATTTCTTAAATGATGCATCTCTTTATACTGACTTCTATGTATGACAAAAATAAATCACAGCACTTTATCAATTTTGATAATCTTATAACTAAAGGGCAGTTTAGTGCCTAAAGACATTAGCACAGTGTTACATATCTCAAAAAGTAAAGTACCTGGGTGTTACCATTCAAAGAGAGGTCCGCTGGGACGAGCATATTAACAATGTATGTAACCAAGAAAACAAGACCCTAGGGTTCTTAAGGCGAAATCTAAAGATTGGCAACTCCCGTGTGAAAGAAAGAGCATATAAAGCCTTTATCCGTCCGATTTTAGATTATGCATCTTCAGTCTGGGACCCATTTACCCAGAAGAGCATTGTGTCCAACCTCCGCCAGGTCGCTGCTCGTCGTGCGAAACAGGATTTGCGCTACAGGAATACCTCTAGTGTTGGCAGCATGCTAGAAACACTAGGCTGGTCACCATTGGAGAAACGACGACGACAATCCAGGCTCTCCATGATGTACAAGATAAATAATGGGCTGGTCCACTGTTCCACTGTCCACTGTTAAAAGGAAACTCGTCCCTCTCCCCCATAGACAGCGACGAGGCCATGACAGGCAATTCAGGCTCATACCAGCAAGAAGCCAGTATAGGAGCTGCTCAATCCTGCCCAAGACAATCAGGGACTAGAACAATCTTTCAAAAGGAACGGTTGAGGCGACAACACTAGACACATTTGTGTCTATTGTCTCAAGCCTTCAAACCGCTAGTGCATGATTTCCTCATCAACACCAGTAACAGAAACATTGCAAATCCCATCTACATGCATAGGAGCCAAAATGATCAATAAATTGATCGTGGGCCCTTAAGATATAGAAGAAGAAGAAGAAAAATCTCTTACTGCAACTGCATCTCAGTAAAAGAAATTATTATTATTATTAAGGTGGTTTTATGTAGCGCAGTACTCCAGCCTAGGGCTAGGCTCACTGCGCTTCACAAAAAAATGAGCAATTACAGAAAATTATACATTTAAAAACAATTGGTGAAAACCTTGACCTCACCCACCCAAGTAATCTCTACCTCTGTCTAGCCATGGACAGCACACAGCAGCATTAAGTGTTATTTATCAGCCAGAGGGAGTGAGAATGAATTGGTATAGTACAGTTTGAAGAGATGAGTCTTGAGGGCAGTTTTGAAGGCTGGGATGTTCGTTATATTGCTGATGTGTAATGGGAGAGAATTCCATTGCTTTGGGGCACAGAAAGAGAAAGGTTGTTCACTGTATGTTTTAGTGCGGGTTCTGGGAACAGAAAGAATACTCGTATCTGCGGAGGAAAAAAGCTTTTGAAGGGGCGAATAGACAGAAAGAAGTTCAGTAAGATAGGAAGGGCAGGAACCAGAGAAAAAATTGTGACAGAGAAAAGACAGCCTGTAATCAATGCAAGCCTGTATAGGGAGCCAATGGAGTGAGTGAAGTAGTGGAGTGATATAATCACATTTCTTTGCCTTTAGAACTAACCTAGCAGCGGAGTTTTGAACTTTCTGCAGTTATTCTATGCAATGTTTATGTGAACCGGACAGAAGGGAGTTACAATAGTCAAGACGAGAGAAAACAAAGTACAAACTAGTGTTTTTGTTGCGCTATCTGTGAGGTAGTGGCGGATGAAGCTGATCTGACAGGAAAAAATAAAAATTCAAACCACATTTATCTCTGTATTTCAAAAACCTAAGTTAAAATATGTAAAGTTCAAGGAAAGCACCTAAGACTATTTAATTGATCAAAGTAAGTCTATTTGTTGACTCACTTAAACTATGAGCCGTCCCATGGGCCCCATCTGTAAAATTAGGCTCCGCCTCATTTTTTAGCAGCACCTCCACTGTCCTAAGGACACTTGTGGACTGAGCACAAAGATTGGCCAGGTCATCGTAAAGAAGGAATTGCAACAGGAGGATCAAGGGTGTGTGGCCCACCTGGCAAGAGTTAGAATGTTTACAATGTAACTTTCAAGTCTAACCTAAAGATCATAAAATTACAAAATATTCACACTCCACCTCTAAGCATAAATTAGCCAAAAATTATTTTCATAGTAGTCCAAAATATCAATTAGAATTATAATTTTTAAAGCCCTACCTGGCACATGAAGTTTGAATCAGATTTAAATTCAAACAGAATCTCCATTGCCTTGGCCAGGATTTCATAGTCATGTTTGTAATCTCCTATGTAAATGTCTGGCTGAGATGTCCTAACACACTCACACTTGTCTGCCTTGTGCACAACTTTCAGACCAATGTGTAGCAGACGACTCAGTGGTGTCAGTCTGGTTCCATTCAACAAATGTGGGTCGGCATTGAACTCTAGGAGGAGACGAATAGCAGCCAGAACCTATGGAACATTTATGAAGTAAATTTCAGGTTCATTGACAGCATATTTGCTTCACAATTTGTGATCTTAAGAGAAATGGCCCTTGCTAAGAAAGAGAAGAATCAAACACACTGGCCAAACTCATCTAGTTTTTTTAAATTTCATTCTTCTTTTTCTTTGCCTTTTCAACTCCCATTGGAGCATAGGCCAATAACAATTTCCCAGCATTTTGGTCTCTTCTCCAGGTGTTTTGGGGTCTTCTCCAAGTGTTTTGGGGTCTTCTCCAGGTGTTTTGGGGTCTTCTCCAGGTGTTTTGGGGTCTTCTCCAGGTGTTTTGGGGTCTTCTTCATCCTCTTGACCTACGAGGGCTACATAAAAGGGCTTGTCTTGCTAAATTAGGAATGGGTTTTCTCATGATATTACTCATCTCCACCTTCTTTCCTGGTTATTTCTTGCTCCATTAGGCTTTGCACTGCCATTTCATTACATGTTGTGTTTGGGATTTTGTGGAACCACTTGATGTTGAAGATTTTTATGAAGGCAGCTGTTCATGAAGGTTTGCGCAGTCTTTTCTAATCTTTCTTGGTTGATCTCCAGCTTTCTGAGCCATGCAACAAAAAGGGTTAACATATGGTCTAAACATTCTAATTTTTTTCATTCTCCTAATTTACCTAGAATTCCAAATATTTTTAACTAAGGCAAAAGCTCCCTTTGCCATCTGTATTCTTGCCCTGATACCTGCCTCATATCCCCCTATCCTAAAAAACTATAATTCCTAGGTACCGGTAGGTAAAACTATCTACTCCTCCTAGTGCTTTCACTCTTATTGCCATAGCTCCTGTGCTATTTGAATTTATTCTCATAACTTTAGTTTTGTTTTCATGTACCCCAAGTCCAATCTGTCTGGAGATTGTATTTGGTTTAACTATAGAAATGTAACATTGTATTTGGTTCAACTATAGAAATGTAACATTGTATTTGGTTCATTTATAGAAATGTAACATTGTATTTGGTTCATTTATAGAAATGTAACATTGTATTTGGTTCTTTTATAGAAATGTAACATTGTATTTGGTTCAACTATAGAAAAATAACATTGTATTTGGTTAAACTATAGAAATGCCACAATGTATTTAGTTGAACAATAGAAATGTAACATAGTATTTGGTTCAACTATAGTAATTTAACTATGTATTTAGTTCAACTATAGAAATGTAACATTGTATTTGGTTCATTTATAGAAATGTAACATTGTATTTGGTTTACCGATAACAATGCCACATTGTATTTGGTTTAACTATAGAAATGCAAAATTGTATTTGGTTCAACTATAGAAATGCCACATTGCATTTGTTTTAAATATAGAAATGCCACATTGTATTTGGTTCAACTATAGAAATGCCACATTGCATTTGTTTTAAATATAGAAATGCCACATTGTATTTGGTTGAACTATAGAAATGCCACTTTGTATTTGGTTTAACTATAGAAATGCCACATTATATTATTTTGAACTATAGAAATGCCACATTGTATTTGGTTGAATTACAGAAATGTAACATTGTATTTGGTTCAACTATAGAAATGCCACATTGTATTTGGTTAAATTATAGAAATGCCACATTGTATTTGGTTCAACTGTAGAAATGTAAGATTAAATTTGGTTCAACTATACAAATGTTACATAGTATTTGGTTCAACTATAGAAATGTAACATAGTATTTGGTTCAACTATAGAAATGTAACATAGTATTTGGTTCAACTATAGAAAATTAACATTGTATTTGGTTCAACTATAGAAATGTAACATTAAATTTGGTTCAACTATACAAATGTAACATAGTATTTGGTTCAACTATAGAATTGTAACATTGTATTTGGTTTATCTATAGTAATTTAACTATGTATTTGGTTCAACTATAGAAATTTAACATTGTATTTGGTATATCTATATTAATTTAACTATGTATTTGGTTCAACTATAGAAATGTAACATTGTATTTGGTTCATTTATAGAAATGTAACATTGTATTTGGTTCTTTTATAGAAATGTAACATTGTATTTGGTTCACCGATAACAATGCCCCATTGTATTTGGTTGAACTATAGAAATGCCACTTTGTGTTTGGTTTAACTATAGAAATGCCACATTATATTTGTTTGAACTATAGAAATGCCACATTGTATTTGGTTGAACTATAGAAATGCCACATTGTATTTGGTTGAACTACAGAAATGTAACATTGTATTTGGTTCAGATAAAGAAATGTAACATAGTATTTGGTTCATTTATAGAAATGCCACATTGTATTTGGTTCAACTATAGAAAAGTAACATTGTATTTAGTTTTTCGGCATCGTCTTTGTTTTTTTTTTTAGAAATGCTAAATTTGCATTTCTAAATATTCTTCCGCCTATCACTAGTGTATCATCAGCACAAAAATCAGTAAATACTTCTAAAACTCTAATGATTTAATCCTAAGCCAAGACTCCCCATAATCTTCTCATATCCTGTATTCCTAGGCAAAGACTCCCCATAATCTCCTCATATCCTGTATTCCTAGGCAAAGACTCCCCATAATCTCCTCATATCCTGTATTCCTAGGCAAAGACTCCCCATAATCTCCTCATATCCTGTATTGTTATTCCTAGGACAAAACTCCCTATAATCTCTTCATATCTTGTATTATTATTCCTAGGCCAAGGCTCCCCATTATCTCCTGTATATATCCTGTTTTATCATTCCCTATTTTAGAGTTGAAGTCTTCCTTCATTAATCATCATATCTCTAAATTGATCTACCACTGTTTGTAATCTAGCACAGAAATCATTTTTTATTCTCTCCTTCTTCATGGCTGGTAGGAGCTTAGTATTGCAATACATTTAAATTATCTTCCTTCTTGAATATTCTAAATGTTGCTGTTATCCATGACATTTGTGGTTGTCACTTTATAAGGGAATGTTCTGGCTGTGTAGAACGTAATACAGACACTGCTTCAGTAATACAGACACTGTCTCCGTAATACAGACACTCCTTCTGTGTGTTGTATATTTTCCTCTTCCTCCCTGAACATAAAGTTGTCTTTCCTGTTGTTAGTTTTATTCTTCCTGATTTTGTCCATCTTGCTTTACTGACCCCTTGAATACTTATATTGTAATTTTTAAACTCTAATGCCGCCTGATAAACTTTCCCCATCTCATGCATTGTGCATACATTCCAGTTGCCAGCCTGGGTAATTTTCCTCAATGAAAAGGAGGTAGCCTGCAACTCAGCTCCCTTTTGAGTTTGATTAGGTGGCTTCATAACCCCTTTTCCAGGGCCCTCCCTTCTCTGGTGGTGGCGGGCCTGAGTTTGAATTTGTTCATGATTTTGTAGCAGTAATATTTTTACTCTCATGGGATGCTAGCAAAATGCAGAAACTATACAAACAAGCATTCAGGCTTTCAACCTGTTGGCCTGGCCCTCTTGCCAGTATGCTCCCCTCCCCCCCAACCGGTCACAAAAACAATTATATGTCAATTTTTTTTAACATAAAATAATAATGCAGAATTATGGTTAGGGATAATTTTTTAAATAAAGTCTGGAGATCAAAATGGTAAATAAAAGAACTGAGTGTTACAAGAACTGAGTGTTACAAGAACTGAGTGTTATGAGAACTGATATTTACAAGAACTGAGTGTTACAAGAACTGAGTGTTACAAGAACTGATAGTTACTAGAACAGAGTGTTATGAGAACTGATAGTTACAAGAAATGAGTGTTACGAGAACTGGTAGTTACGAGAACTGAGTGTTACAAGAACTGAGTGTTACAAGAACTGAGTGTTACGAGATCTGATAGTTACAAGAACTGATAGCTACAAGAACTGAGTGTTAAAAGAACTGATAGTTACATGAAATGAGTGTTACAAGAACTGAGTGTTACAAGAACTGAGTGTTACGAGAACTGATAGTTACAGGAACTGAGTATTACAAGAACTGAGTGTTACGAGAACTGACAGTTCCAAGACCTGATAGTTACAAGAACTGATTGTTACAAGAACTGAGTGTTATGAGAACTGATAGTTACAAGAACTGAGTGTTACAAGAACTAATAGTTACAAGAACTGAGTGTTACAAGAACTGATCGTTACAAGAACTGAGTGTTACAAGAACTGAGTGTTACAAGAACTGATTATTACAATAGCTGAGTGTTACAAGAATTGAGAGTTACAAGAACTCACAGTTACAAGAACAGATAGTTACATGATCTGATAGTTACAAGAAATGAGTGTTACAAGAACTGAGAGTTAAAAAAGCTGAGTGTTACAAGAACTGTGAGTTACAAGAACGGAGAGTTACAAGAACTCAGCGTTACAAGAATTGAGTGTTACAAAATGATATTGAACAAGCAACCTGGGATTGATAGCTCTCTTGTAACTGTGCCCTGGGCAGCTGCCTTTGAGGGTCCACATAGTTGCCTCCTGTGTATGAGATGTGGGACACTAACATATGCAATGCTGTTTCCTTAAGATGGGTGTATGTATTTACCTGGGAGATACAAACACATAAAAAGGTTCGCATTTTAAAAATAATAATAATAATATTAAATATGATCTTTGTTACAAAATTTTGATCACACTGTTGATCTGCAATTATTTTGAAACTGATCAAATTTTATATTTTCTAGCCTTCACTGTCTTTAATAATTTTCAAGCTTTAATTCATAATTTTCTCCCAAATGGCTTAAAATATATGGTAGTTATCTCCCCTAACTAATTTTAATAAGTAATTAATCTTTTGCATCTCCTGTTCTCTCAAAATTATATTTTAATGATATCTAAAGTTATAATGCTGGGTAAAACCCAAGTAGAAATGCTGGGTTATACCCCAGTAGAAATTTTGGGATAACCCCAAGTCTGAAATGCCGGGTTAACAATCTCAATATACTTCCAGGGCGCTGCTATGCAGGCGACTCCATTGCATTAGTGCATCTTTTTCAGCATTTTTACAGTTTTTACGTTTTATTTAATTGTTTTTCACTCAATTAAAAATGGAGGTGCTAAGGAAGATTTCCTTGTGAGTTTTGTGTTTCTCTTCACGGGAAATAGCTTTAATATGGACATTGGATATCAAATTACTCAGACTAGAGTAAAAATGTCACTTTTGCCATTTTTGTAAACTTCCGTCATGTTAACAACAAATGGCAAATGATTCACGACTGAGACAAAGAAAGCGGGGCACAAGGGAGGCATTCGTGTGAAATGCAGAAACAGGGGCTTTCTTCCACCTGTTGTTTTGGGACACGTTGGATCACTATGTAACAAGATGGATGAACTGGATTGTTGCTGTAAGCATTTCTATCAATTTCACAAAATCTCTTTAACATGTCTGGCAGAAACATGGCTTAAAGACAGGGTACCAAGATTCAGTAGTGGCACTGGACAAACTTAAAATTTTCCGTGCCCATAGAACAACTGACAGCGGCAAATCCAAGGGAAGGGGAATTGGCAATATACGTTAAAAAAAACTACTGTAGCATCAACAACAGTACAGTGAAACATGTAGCTTATAAATACGCCAAAGAACAACTCTGCATCCCTTTAAAGCCATTTTACCTATCCAGGGAGTTCACCAAAATCTGTATTATCCTCACTTGAGAGACTTTTGGACGTAATCCATGTAAACTAAGACTCCGAAAGTCTAACATTCAACGTGGTCCCCCTGTAGTCACAAATCTTAATGAGAACTATCAAGTCCCTGATAGAACTAAGAAAATTCACTGAATGGCTGGTTTTTTTCCACTAGTGAAATAATTTAATGTCTCGTGTTCAAATTGTTTTATTTATGTGCTGAAAATGGAAAATGCAGTCAAAAAGCATTTCCATTTGTTTGGATCAAAAAAAGAATCTCATCTTATCTCATCTCAAGCAGTTACCATACAAAATACTTTCACAACCAACAATCATCCAAAGAGAGAGATGGCTTGCTTGATAGGCTTGTGTGTGCTTAACTATGACTTCAGTAAAAGACTGTGGGCATTTTCATCCTAACACAGTTCTGCTGTCTATGTTTTTACACAAGACTATTGCAAGAAAAACAGTGTTTTATTCATATTGCTCTATTAATGTTTTAATATGGTAACAAAAAAAGGTTGTACATTCAGTGAACAATAAGAATGTTGCATCACGACACACTTACAAATGATTAAAAGGCAAATATAAAAACCTGTTATTAGAAATTCATACCTACTTCTTGTTCAATGCCTGTAGTCAGCAGATATTTAGTGGTGTCATAGATGGTGAAAAGGCCATCAATGTTCTGGCGATACAGTCTGTGGAGAGCTGTCTCCTGTATAGATTCTGACCGTAGATGGACATCTGCGCCACTCTCCAGTAATATTTTTGCACATCTGTGATACCGAATAAATTATCCCAAAATTAATTTTTAAAACATTTTGTAAGTGAATTATACATGTAAGTTGGCAAGGACAAAGTCTTAAAATGTTATAACGATGAACTTTTTCATTTTTGTTACAAAACCATAATCCCTATGTTATAGCTTGTGTGTTGACTTAGTTTTTGTTCACCCTGCATTGTGTGAAGCCTGGCTAGCATTGCCTGTCCCTCTTGTTGTAATGTCATCAACAATTAACTTGATGACAAGTACTGCCACTCTGTTCCCCCACTGCCCTTTAGTGGGAAAGTCTGTTTTCTTTTGCAGAGGACGAAAGTACTCTCTGACATTTGAATTTCTAGACTTTCTGCTCTGGAATGTTCTGACTCCCTCACTATAAATACAATGGTTGACTGTGACCAGTAGAAGGATCAGAGACCTAATAGTCTTACAAGACTTACCAGAGATACAAGAAAAGAGAACTTACAAGACTTAAAACTTTTTCCCTGTGTGTGAGTGGATTAATATTTGTACCTTTCTTCTATTATATTTTTTCACTAGTGGTGATGTAAGTTAATATTGTTTTTGTTTCTGTATGTTTGATTTTGTATTTTTATAATTCCATCTTAATAGTATTTTATAACTATTAATATAACTAGCTTTAATATCATTTCTTCTTCTTCTTATATTTGAGGTGCCCACGATCAATTTGATGATCATTCTTTGTGTACTGGTCTTTTGAGCTTTGTTACGTATTTTCCATCTAATTACCCAAACTTAGAACAGATTACATTTTTTTAAACTTTATTACGGTACCTTAGTTTAAATGAGAAAAAGGTGTCTGCAAAACTCTGTCTCCAAGGAGCAAATAGAATATACCAAAAACAAAATGCCTGGATAACATCACTTTCATTTCAAGACTCTTCTGTTATTAAAATCTTTGTTTAATAGTAATAGACTCAAACAGACCCTATTGCAAATTCACCTACTGTATATGTTTGTTACTTTATAGCTGTTAAAAATTTAGCATTTAAAGAATGTAAGTTTTTAAAGGGTTGCAGCTTTTAATGACTACTTACTGTTCACCCCAAGGTACAGCAGCCAGTAAAGGTGTGTCCCCTTTCATATATTTATTTATGCAATCAGGATACAAATCTGCAAAATAGCGGATGCAATCTGGAGCCCCCTCCTGACATGAGTACATCAGCAGGTTTTGTGGTGACAGACTTTGTTTTACTTTTAATCTTTCCTGTTCTAAAATTATCTAAAAAACAAATCAGTAGTAAACGTTATTTAATATTCCTTTTCTTTTACTTCATTCATTAAACTGAACTGGCTTTAGTGTGCATTTTATTTTATTTTTTATTTTTTTTAAATTTCAGCAATTATTTGCTTTGCCTGATTCTATATCAAATGTGAAGGATTTTTATGTATCCTTTGGAAAAATCTGGCCATTCTAATAATTAGGTCATGCTAATTACCTGAACACATGAAAGTTGATTGCGAAGGATTGCACACTGCACTGGGGTTAGCCTTCGAGTCTTACACAAATAGACTGGCTGCTTGGAAAAACTGAAGTAATGTGGCTCGTATGAAATAGCTTTATGAGGCTGTGGGTAGCACATGCCCAGCTTCTTATTTACCTTTTAGATTAGTATTAAAACTCATTAATATATATTATTTGAAATATGACTATGAGAATTAAATTTATTTACAATGAAAATATTAAATTTACACAAGATAAATAACTAAGTTCCATATCTCATAACTAAAACTCAACAGTATTATACAATTTTGATGGATATATATTGCCTAGTGATTTCCAATTTAGTCAAGCAAAAACCATACCATCCACTCCCTGAGATGGACAGATGCAAAAAAACAAACAAAACAGTAAGTATGAATTAATAAATGAGGACACTTTTGTTTATCTAAAATAGTTGGTGAAATAAATCTGCCTTGTAAAAGCGGGCGGGAAATTAGAATATTATTTTTTTTAATAATAATAATAAATGCATATAAAGGATTTATACGACAAACTAGGGGTTGTTTAATTACTTGTGGGTATTCTATATTTATAATTTCGTTAATATTGTTCGTTGGTATGAATGTGTTAAGTGTGCGCATTTTTTTAGGGCATCTCTTTTTCATATTCAATGTTTTCTACTTTCAAACTTTTTGCCCTTAAGGATTTGGGAAAGCAGTTTTAACACAAATTTTAAAATTCATTCATAATTTATAAACTTTTCTTTCACAAAACTTACATTTGCCCCTCTTTCAGATAGGATTTGTAATATTCCTTTTTCTCCAAGGTATGCAGCTAAATGCACTGGTGAACTGCAGTGGTAGCAGTCAAGATCAACACAAAATGACAAAAGGTACTTGACTACATCCTTATTTCTTGTTGAATGAATCAAAAGTAAACATACAGCTTCATATATATTATGGATTAATACCATCTATTGACTGAATAATATCAATTATTAACTTGCCAACTACCTGGGATACCATATTATTTCCATGAACGATTCGCAATAAAACCTTATAAACCAATAAGAAAAGAAATGATCTCGTTGAGATATTTTACAACGCTTTCTTGACTAGTGACTTTGATCTTGTGCTTAATGTTAAAAGATTATGCATATTTGTATGTTTGAAACACATGCCTTGTGATATTGACAGCAAACTGCAAAATAAATTAACACAAAGATTGGTAAAAAAAAAAAATTTAGCTAAAACAATTTAAACAATAAACTTTACCTTGATATAACAGCTGATTGTAGGATATCAAATCCTGTTTCAATATCCTTGACACTAAACCAGTCTTCTCCTGTAGGCAATTGTCTTAGAAGTTGAACTACATCTGATGATTTTTCCTGTAGAATAGGAAATAATTGTTCTAATGAGGGCCGTATTATCCAAAAGGCTGGTGAGGCTGAAGAGTAGGGGTGCACCAAGATAAGGGACCCATGCAACCTTTAGCCATGCCTTGACAATGCTCTTAATTGTAAGTTCCACACTTTTGAAGGGCCCAAAAACCTTGAAGCCTAGTGGCCCTGCCATGGTTTAATACAGCACTAGTTCTAATGCTAAATGGAAGTAACACTCTGTCATGCAAAACAGTTATTTGTAAATTGTTTGCCAATGCACTGGCTCCTGTTTAGCAGGGTGGTGATATTCCTTTGAGAGAACCATGAAACATCCTTCTCCATTATGTTGCAGAAAAACTAAGTATATATATGTTAAGGATAGGAGCACAGCAGGAACTTTGAAAATAAGCCTCCAACCCAACCTTTCTACAGACTTCCTGTTTTCAACCTATAGGCCTATTTCCCCCTTACCTCAATATCCTTTTGTTAAAAAAATATACTAATATAGACAAAAATACTTACCTCAGGACACTGAAGAAGCCAGATTATTTTTAATATACTATCTTTTGACTGTTCAGAGACCACATCCCAAGTTTTTCCTAAGAAAACAGTCGCTGGCCATGTTCCCCTAATGTAATTAAATAGGCCCTGTAAGTAACTTGACATCACTTCTTTGAAGAAGGCAATAGCAAGAGTTTAGATCTGCTATCCATAATAAATGCTAAACTTCTGGAACCCTTTATTCACCTCCTTTATTAAATTTTATCATCCTGTAATTTAATGAAGTTAAGGTTATGGTATTTTTTATTACAAAACTCAATATTTTTGGATACATCTATTGAATTTATTGTTGTCAGCATTGTATCTGTCTTAATTTAGTAATTAAAGTGCAGGCATGAATTTAAAGCATATCCAGCGATTTCAAAGTTAGTAATATACATATTTTTGGAAAATAATGGAATGCATAATTGCAATGATGAGTCCCTCTTCAAACCTCTCCCCCACTTTTGCTCAGCGGCCTTTGGTTTCTTTTATGAAAAACAACATTCTCATATTTTCATCCCAAAACATTACATTTTCTGGGGGAGAAGCTCCTCTACAGGCCCTCCCTCCAACCCCTCTAGAATTTTGGCTTTCTCAATTTATTATCCCCTTCCCCCCATTCAAAGTGACAATCCAAGCATCCTTTTATTTTAAAAAAAGCACAGTATTTAAACAAGATTTAAAGGATATAAACTTAATACATGATATAAATATTTAAATTATAATATTTACCATATACTAAATTATATTATATAATGAAATATCATTTATTGCTCAGGGTAAGGGTGCCATGTTAAGGCTTCGCCCTGGGAGCCGCTTTACCATGGCACTGCCCTGTGTACATTAGACTATTTTATTTTATATAATTTATATAAGTTTATCTTTAATTAACACCAGACTTATTATGTTTATATATTATATATGTTATAACTATAACATAGACTAAAGTAATCTATAGACTATATATAGTTCAGTATAACATAGTCTATCTCTATAGGCCTACTATTCTCTATAATCTATCTATATTCTTTATATATAAATTATATTCAAAATAAATGTTTTTTTGTTTATATTTCACTTCACCCTTCAGTCTTTTATTTTTATGAACCACTGAATCTGAAGTTGTCTGGAGTCTAAAGAATTAAGAAAGGTGACCAAATGTCCCGTAAAATCGGGATTGTCCCGTTTTTTCACAATCATACCCGGTGTCCCGAAAAATTCTCTCGGGGTGCCTAAATGAATGTCCTTTTTCTAAAACTTAGCAAATTTTCAAATGACTAAAACTAAAACTAAAACTTCAAATAATATTTTGGCTAGCTGTGTAGCCAGGGCCAGGAGTGATGTGGGATCATGTGATACTGATGGCTGCATTTAATTTTTTGTGTTGTATTATATTGTAAAGTATGTATAAATAAATATGTATTCTTGTATAATTGTTTCGGTTTATGATATACCTTTAACTTTAACACTCTAGTCTAACTCAAGACCAGCCAGATTTCTAGGTCTCAAAATAGTTAAAATTAGCATATTTCAATAAACAGTTTCCCGCAGAGGCCGCGAAACCCCTCTTTAGCTGGAGGGTATCTCCCCCACCCTCCTTGTGTGTGTCCCATTTTTTCCAGTTCATGATTTGGTCACCCTAGGCCCTAGACCTAGTCATACTAAAGTCACTGACTGAACTTCAGTCACTGTGACCGTGAGTACTGTGACTCTGGGCTTACTCTCTCTAGTGAACTTTATTTTGAGTAATTACATAAGGTCATTTTTTTTTAAAATTTATTGGGCAATACTGTAAGCCGTGTATTTAAATAGATAATGAACTTACTTCATTTTGGCGTGTCCAATAGATTCATTTTCGAGACGTAAATTACATAGTAAAACGTCGATATGAAAATAAAAATAAAACTTCCGTAATTAGCTTCCCATTTTCTTTCGCCACGGTTCTAATATAATAAAGCGAATCGAAAATAAATAGACATTAATTGGATTGGATATTTAAATAGCGCTGGTATCCATGCTACTTCAGCATGCTCACTGCGCTCTGGTTTTCTTAAATCTATTTAAACAAAAGGTTTTTAAAAGTTTCTTAAATGATTTTTTATCATTTTTAATTCCCCTAAAAGATTGAGGCAAACTGTTCCATAATTTTGATGCTATCGCTTCAAAAGTGCGCCGTACGACTTTTTTCTGTGTTCATTCACACTGGGAGTTTTCAATAAGTTCAATAAGGACTGTGTTGAAGACCGAAGGTTCTTTATGGATACATGTTTATAAATCAGTTCTTTAAGATATTCCGGTGCAGAGCCTTCTATGCAGCTGTACGCCAGGGACAGAATTTTGTGGTTAATGCGCTCATTCACAGGAACCCAATGGAGATCTCATAGAACTGGGGTGATGTGGTCAGATTACTTTATCCGCGATACAATGCGTGCTGCAGTATTTTGTACCTTCTGGAGTCTCTGACTCTCAAACTATTTCAGCATACACCCTTTTGGGCGCTAAACTCACCTTAACACCCCCACCCACTCCTGTTTTAAACATTACAGAATAGTTTGCATGAATGTCAGTAGAAGATAATTTATAATTTACTTGTCAAAATATGTTATATATTTAAATATTTAATTAAAATATAAATTGAACTTTTTAAAATGATTAATTTTAATGAATAAAGTTTATTTGAAAAACACGCTTCATCCCCAAAAGCTCGAAGCGCGGTACAAAGTCAACCATATTAAAAAGAGAAATAAAAACAATCTAAAATTTACCACATTTAAAAACAGAAGCAACAATATAAAGCTATATACGAGCATACCCAGTCAAAGTCTTTCATCCCGTTTCAACCATAAGCAACAAGGCCAATATACAGTAACTCAAAAAGATGGTAGATAGCATCACCACAGAAGGGGTTTGCGAAATAGATGTGTTTTTAAATCGGTTTTAAAGGACTCCAGTGTCTGGCTGTTTCTGAGAGCGACTGGAAGTGCGTTCCAAATTGTTGGGTTTATATTTATATTATATTATAAATATATTTATATTTAATTTGAAAATGCTCTCTGTCAAAGACGAGTATAAACCACTAAAGAGTTGAAATTAATTTTAAACGTCTTAAAATTTATTGGACAAAGACTGCATGAATTATCAAGGATTTGGAAATCTGGCTTCTTCTCTTATCAATAGTTCTTAATTAGATAGACTTAGTAAAGGGATCGAAGTATTTTCAATTACGGATTTAAAGTTGCTTTCCAGAACTTAATTCACTTTGTTAATATTTCTATGGTATTAGTAATAGTATTACTGTACCTAATATGTGATTTAGGCTTTCATAAAAAATCCTACAACTTGCTCAAATCACAAATCCATTTGGTTGTAGTAGAGCATCTTAAATTGCTCTTCTTGCTCAGACTGGTTTGAGTAAAGAATAGATTGAGACGGCCAATATTATGCTTGCATAGAGTTAATTTTCAATAAAATTAAGGACGACATATTTGGTTTTACTTTTTTTTTTAATCTCATTCGCATGAAATGTTACATTCTTTTTTTTTTTTTAATTATTTTTTTATTTTAAATTTAATAATATATGTAATAGATTATGTAGACACTGTAGTTTCCGATAACCAAAATATTTTGTTTTTCTTTTTTTTTTAATCTCATTCGCATGAAATGTTACATTCTTTTTTTTTTTTTAATTATTATTTTATTTTAAATTTAATAATATATGTAATAGATTATGTAGACACTGTAGTTTCCGATAACCAAAATTAAACCGAAAGTTAACATTTCAGTCTCGACCGAAGCCGAAATCAAACCGAAATTTAACTTTTTAGTTTCGGACAAAACCGAAATTAGACCGAAAGTGATCAAATGGCTACTTTCGGCGCCAAAACCGAAGCCGAAATTCGGTCGGTCTCTAAAGTGAACATACAGACAATAGACAAGTGAACACGCGAACAAGTGACCACACGGACTACTGAACTCATAGACAACTGAACGCAAGACTGGTGAACACAAAAAAAATAAAATTAAACAGCATGCTCAACAAAAAAAGACGAAATGGTTAAAAATAATATACCACGATAACGTACAGATTTTCAACTGATTAATATATTAATATTAAATTTGTAATTAGTTTCATTGGTTAAATAATCAATTAGCTTTTGGGTCGTCCATTAATTACGTCAACAATGTTAACGCAACTTTTAACCCCTCCCCCCTGTCAATAACTGTAAAACTTTCAGTGACCCTCCTATTTAATTACATAAACATTTTATACCCCCCCCCCAACACACACACACCACCCAAAAAATGAATTGTAATATAAATAGAATTATAAATATATTTTACTTTGTGCTGATCTATTTTAATGACACACAATTGTAGGGAAGGCATTTCATTACATCTTTAGCTTGTTAATCAACAAGTTAAAAAGATTTTATATTTAAATTTTATAATGCAGAATCAATTGAAAGTTTGTTAAAGACTAAATATCATTGTTTGTGGAAGTATAAATATGATTATTGTCAGTAAAGCTGACAATTATAGTATAGTTTCTAGCTGCTATCATCCTCCCATATGGACTAGCCAGGTGTTGCTCTATCGTAAAAATGGGTATCCTTTGGGTAGGGCAGAGGGGCATTTGCCCACCCACCCTCCAAATTTACAGGTTTTATTTAAATTGCTATGTACTGTGGCGCCTCCAGTAATAAACAACTTAACAAAGTAGCTAATTTATCATTTATTCATCTTGCGGAACTGATATAGCCTACCTGACAATATCACCCTCATCTAACCATTCAGCACTTAAAATAGAAGCAATCTCGCTGTGAGCAATAATTGCCATAAGCTTTCTCTCTCTCTCTCTCTCTCTCTCTCTCTCGCTCTCTCTCTCTCTCCTGGCAGCTACTCGCTTTGGTCAAATCCTTTTTTGTTGAGGAGCAGGTGCTATTTATTATGGTCAAGAGGGCATTTCTGGTCCTATTGCAACATGACTTGTGATGCAAAATAGATGTTACAGATTTTGCAAATCCGTTCAAGCAGCGATGTTATTATTATTACTCACTTTACTTTCCCCTAATTCTCAAAATATCGTCTTGTCTTGACTGCACATGACACCAAAAAATTATATGACTATTTAAACTCATCAATTTTTTAAAAAAATAATGTAATAGTAATAACCAGTCAATTTTAATTTAATAGAGAAAACATAATTGTTGACGTCAACTTATCTAAACCCCCCTCCCTCCCCCTTGTCAACAACTGTCAAACATTTCCAACCCCCCCCCCCTTGCCTATTTTGTTGACATCATTAATGGACGGCCCCTTTTAAAAATATAATTCTGCCATGTAAGAGTTGCTGCTAAAAAGAAAAAGAAAAAAAATTAATTTGGGGCCTAGTTGTCAAATTAGTTTATTGGAATTATTAGAGCGAGTTATTTGTTCTTCTTAAGAAATGTAAACGTACGGACACTGGCAATGAAATTCATTCCTAATGACAATGAGCGTACTGCTTAACGCTTTCTCGACAGTATCGTCGTAAACAAGTAGGCCGTGAACCTAGGGTGACCAAATCATGAACGGGAAAAAAAACAAGACACACCCAAGGAGGTGTGGGGGGTACCTTCCAGCTAAAGCAGAGGTCTCAAAAGCGCGGCCCGCGGGCCATTTGCGGCCCGCAAGACGATATTTTGCTGCCCGCTACATAACAGAAAAGTTTAGTGTTAATGCGGCCCGCGCGTTTTCCCCCATTCTCATAACTATAATCCTCATAACTATAACTGTGGAATACTTGATGCGGCCCAGTCTCACTCAGACTCTACCACCTGCGGCCCGCGGATGATTTGAGTTTGAGGCCCCTGAGCTAAAGAGAGGTCCGGGGGCCTCTGCCGGAAACTGTTTATTGAAATAAGCTCATTTTAACTATTTTGAGACCTAGAATCTTTTCTAAGCTTAGGGTAGGGTGACCAAACGTCCCGTAAAAACGGGATTATGTACGAAAACCATGTTTTGCGCCAAACGCGCGGTGTGACCTCGCCTTACACTAGATTGGAATGTTGAGCTCAGGTATCTCTTTCACCCCAGTCCTTACGGCCTATGTACGGCCGGGTTCTCTCTCCCATAGTGGGGGGGGGGGGGTTTACTTAATACCACGATTCGGGCTTTAGTTAGAAATTCAATAATTCATTTCTCGGGAACCCTAGCGTATTAAGTGAGAAAGTATATCTAGTTGGAAAGTGGATTTTATTTACTATTCCGTAGCATATTTGCAAGTCTCCATCGTTAGAGGATATTTTAACATTTAGTCATTAAAGGAGTTTTAAACGTCATCCATAGTGGTCCCCACCCCTTCTAATTAAAATATCTCAAAAACGATTTAACTCATAGAAATATAAAATAGTATCTTAGATAGCTGAGGCAAAACTGCGCAGGACAGGACAGGACACATATAAGTCGTTAGGGGTTCGGTCAGGGATTTTAAGTATAACTCGGGTGTAGTCCCCAGGGTTAGTCATTTTACTCAAGGAAATTGGCCAGAAGGCAAAACGTACACCGACTTGGTTTCGGTGTGACGGAGGGGCTATCTCATATGTTCGCTCACGGCTTTATAAAAGGGTGCACACTAAGTAGGGGGTCATTCGAGGTTCAACAGCATCCTTGCAGTGTGCCAATGTTCAGTGCGGCCCATTGGAACGCTCTGTCAGTATAAGCAAATATGCCATCTTCTTTCTCTCTGTTTAGTATGAACTTATTGAAGTGTTAGGGTGCTGGGTGGCCAAGTGGACTAAACTAAGGATATAAGTTGGTGGTCTGGAGTTCAAATCCAGCCAGAGCCAAGTCAAGCAAAAACACCACCAGCACCCCGGGTGGATGGGACTCGTTAGCCTTGGATGGCAACT